CGAGCACCTGGCCCTCAGTGCCTGGTTCCTCTGGGTGGCTTTCTCCTGCTCCCCTCAAAGGCCCTTCACACCTTCTCGAGTCTGTAATCTTCAGGTGCCCTCACTCCATTTCACAGAGGAAATTCCTCTGCAGGGATGCCCTCAATCTCCTCTCACCCAGCAGACACGCTGACTTCCTCCTCTCCTCTTCCCATGGGTCATAACAGGTTGGCCGAGGCTTGACTCTCACATCTCCTTCCCATCAACACTGCCCCCCCCCCAGTACCCACCCCCCCAGGACACTCAAGTCTTTTCTGCCCCGGGCCCCGGGGCCTCTCCAGCTACTGCTCCACTCTCCCCTGGGAGGGTGTCTGGATCTGGCGTCCGTCCCTGCTTCCCACACTGCTATGCACCAGGCACTGGGCTAGGCCAGCCTTTCTCTAAATCAGCAGTGACCCCCTCATTGCTGAAACAGAGCTCCTTAGGTTCTTAGCGCTGAACCTCCGGGCTCCTCCTTCTCGTGGCTTCCCCTTCCTCCACTGACCATTAGGTGTTTTCCAGGAAAGTTCTCTAGGATGACTCAGACCCAGTTGGACGAGAGCTTTTGTTCTCTCCCACCGCAGCAATTATGGCCACTGCGATTGGGTCATTAATGCCATCATTAGGATGTAATGTACACACAATGATGTGTTATGATGTAAGCTCTTTGAAAATGGGATGGATTTGCTCACTGTTGTATCCAACCAGCAGCCTCTCACTGGCCATCAGCAAATCATTATGGAATGCAAAAGGTAGGGACCTATGCCTGTCTTTTCTCCCTGGTATCCCTAGCACCCCAAGCAAGGCCTCCTGGGAGAAGATTGTTGAAGGCTCCGTTAGCCACCCTGCATATACGATCTCATTTAATCCCCACCGCCACCCTCCATGTTAAGAGTCGACAAATGGAGGCACAGAGAGGTTGTGTGATTTGCCCAAGGTCACACAGCCAATAAGTAGCTGTTTCGTGATCTGATTCCAGGTCTTACTCTGTAGCGAGTTGGACGATGGCCTTCCAAAGTGAAGCCCATGCCCCAGTCCCCACAACCTGTGAGTGTGACCTTTATTTGGAAAAAGGGTCTTCGCAGATATGTTCAATTAAAGATCTAGGGATGAGATCATCTTTGATAGAGTAGCCCCAAATCCCATGCCCAGTGTCCTTAGAAGAGAAGGGGGCCAGTAGGGAAAGTACAGAGAAGGTGGCAGGAAGGCGGAAGTAGAGATCCCAGCGATGTGGCCCCACAAATCGAGGTACGTCGAGAATCGCTTGCGGCCACAGAAGCTGGGGGAGAGGCGTGGAACGGACTCTCCCTTAGAGCCTCCAGAAGGAACCAACCACACCAATACCTAGACTTCAGCCTTCCAGCCTCCAGAACCATGAGAGAATAGACTTCGGTTGTTTTTAGCTGCCTGTTCTGTGGCCAGTGGTTACCACAGCCCTAGGAAACACAGACCCCAGACCACACGGTGCGGTATCTGGTGCACCACACCAGGCCTGAAAACCAGGGGCCACGGGGAGTCCCAGGCTGTGTGACCGTGGCTTGGCCACCTGCCTCCTCTGGGCCCAATTGCTCTGTAGTAAAATAGACACTGGGATACCAAGTGTCCCTCCAGCTCTGACATATTCCACAACATTCCAGAAGAACCGTGAGCCAGGCAAGCAGGGCTATGTTGGGATTTTCAAATTTATTCCAACGTGCTGTGTATGTTTTTTTTTTTTAAAAAATATCCTCAGGCTGAACACTCAGCCAGAGCTGTAATAAAGGCAATTATTATACTTGTAAAAACTTCTCATTCACAGTACAGATGTAATTTACAACAAAGGTCACACACATCAATACTGAGCATTTTTTTTCCTTTTGTACATGGGACTCTGTGCTTTAGACCTGCATGGATTTTTTGAGTTTTTTTTTTTTTTTCTGCACTGATATATACCATACCGACATTGCAAGATGCAAGGGTAGAAACGGGAGTTTAAATAAAATTACAGGCAAAACTACCCATCCCAGTGTGGCCGCTGTACATATCTACAGTACGATTTTTTGGAATGTATTGCCATTTAAGAACATAGAAACTCTCTACAGGCAATTTCACATACAGAATACATACACCTTTTAGAAAACAAAAAGGCAAATATTTATCTTACAGAGAGCATGTATCTTACATTTGCCTACACCTTTCTTTTTTCTATTTCTTTTCTCTTTTTCTTCTTCTTTTTTTCAACACTAGGTTTAGTAAAGTGATCGTAAGTGCCGAAGCGGTTTTCTAATGGACAGCAGACTGGAGCCACAACACGGAAGCAGAATTTTTAGGGACAGGTCTTCGGGAACTTTCTCCCCTTGGTTGATGCAGCAGATCTGTCTCCAAGGCAGGACTTTTGCTTTAAGAAGGATTTTCTCTTTCTGAGAAAGGGCTGGGGAGCAGTTCAGCTCAGATATATTGCTGGCTCCTATTCAGAAGTGCAGGGTGAGAATGGAACAGGGCTACAGGGATCTGGAAGCTAATTCTTTCCAATGTTTTCCCACGGAGGGAGGCAGAGGGACTTCTGGGTCTGGAGGATGGAGGTGACATAAAAGGGAGAGTGGGCAGTTTGCTGCTGTCAGCGTCCTGGAGGGTCTCAGTGGTTGGGCCAGAGTCTAAGCCAAGGGTGGAGGGCCTGGGAAAAGGTGCCTCGGAGGGGAATGAGGATGGTACCCAGAATGACCCTGAACTTGCTGAGGGCGAAGGGCATCCTGGAGGGGAGGCCTGGGGGCCAAGTGTCTTGGACTCCCCAACAGAAGGCGAGGGCTGGCTCTGAACCCTCTGCAGTTTGGTTCCTGCCATACTGCTGGCACCCAAGGACCAGAGTGGGCCGGTACTACCAAGGAATGGCCGCCCGGCACATTTTGGCAGAGCGTCAACAGGTGTCTTTGGCAGCCAATCGGCACTGCTTTCTGTTCTGCCTTTCTGAACAGGGACAGCAGGCTCACAGACCAACTGTAAATGCGGATGTGGTTGGAAGTGGGACAGGGGGCCCCGGGGACAGCATGGAGTGAGAGTCTTTTTCCAAAATTATGGAGGAGTGTGTGTGTGTGTGTGTGTGTGTGTGCGCGCGCGCGCACGTGCGCACGCACGTGCTGGGGTCTCTGCTGGGGGAGCAGGGACAGGGTCTGGCAGAAGGCATTAGCACTGTGCCTGGTGACATGTGTCCCAGGCTGGTGGCATTGATTCCATCCCTCTGGGGAGCCGTCTGGGGCAGCAGCCCGCTGGCCAGGTTCTGTTTATGCATCGTGTCCCTGTTACTGAGAAATGGATCCCTGTGACCTGGTCGCTGTCCCCTCTGCCTGTGCCTGTGGGCCGGAGTGGCCCCGAGGACTCCCACCTGTCGGCCACATTGTGACTGGGTCTCCCAGGAAGGAGACCTCAGCAGGCACACTGTCTGCAAACAGGGGAGCTGGGGGTGCATGGCTGGGGAGAGGGGCGTGGCCACTCGCAAGGTCAGGGGCTCATCGAGCAGAGGTCCCTGTCTACTACTTTGTAAGTCTACGCTGGAGAATCTTGCCCAGGAAGGTTTCAAACTTGGGCTGAAGTGATGCTCTTTATCTAGCTCTCAGGCCCCAGCACTAGAAGCCTCCAAGGGTAGGGCAGAGAGGTAAGGTGAGGAAAGCCTGGGCTATAACCCGGCCCTGGTACCTTCCCGCTTCCTCTGAGGCCAAAATAGTGCCCATATGGTCAAGGCTGGGCTTGCTGGCCTTCTCCCAGGATGGGCGGGAGCCTTGGACTCTGGCCCAGGGAGCTGAGCACCTCTGCTAACCTTACCCCCAGCACCCCGGAGCCCACCAGACCCCCAGGGGGCGCCCTTTCCTCTTGGTCCCTTTGTGTCTTAGCTCTGAGAGCAGCCTAAGGGAAACAAGACAGTGGTCTGAGGCTGAACTTGGGCTGGCTTGTCTACTTAGCAGAGGCCAAGCAGAGAAAGACCCTGAACTGGCAGAGGGGGGAATCATGGCCTCATCCAGGGTCCTGCCTAAACAACTCCACCAGGTCAGGATTCACCTGGCTGAGGACGGGGGAGTGGTCAGGGAGTCCCCTGCTCTGTAACATGGCATCCGCACCTCACCTGGGTGGGCCAGGACCATGGTCCCCGTGCTTTCTCTTCCTTGGAGAAACTAAAGAAAAAAAATTCTGGAAAGATGGGAGAAAACCCAGCCTTCTCAGGACAGGGTAAACAAGGGCTCTACATGTCAACGTGGGATTTTAATTTCTGGTCCTATAATTTTTCTTACAAAGCAGGGTTTTGCTCCAGGAAGTACAGGAAGGCTTCTTGAAGGAGGAGGTGGGAAAGAGGGAGGAGACACTGGCTAGTACTGATTGATTTGGAGAAGAATTCAATGGGCTTAGGACAGTTCTTCTAGGTCAAGAGAATCTGAGGGGGCTAGGAGAAGTCCCAAACACCATCCTCTCTCTTGTGTGTGCGTGCGTGCGTGCGCGCGCGCGCATGTGTGTGTGTGTGTGTGTGTGTGTGATTTTTAAAGAGATTTAAAAACAGTTCCCACCGGTCATGGTTTTAGGTACTTCCTGGGAGTAGTGGAGGCCTGACAGTGGGTGAGGTGGGGACGGGGGTAGGGGGCAGGATCTAGTCCTACTGAAGAGAAGTCCACAAACAGGTCCCTGTAAACTTCCAGTGCTGAGCACTGGAAGAGCCCAGCCATGGAGGAATTAGGGCCCTTTGAACTTTAGGGACCAGACATGAAACGAAACCCAAGCCCCAGCCTCAGGAATGGCAAGGCGATGCACCTTGGATCTTGACCCCTAAGGGCTGGGCCCTGCCACTTCAGCCTTGTGGGTAGTTTCTAGAATAAGGGAGGCAGCCTGCAGCTGGATCCTTGAAGCAAGGCCTCAGTCAGGTGCTCAGGACCCAAGAGATGAACAGTCAGGGCTCCTTTGGCAGCCTAGGGGCTGGGGGTAGGGGGTAGAGGGGAGGGGTGGAGGGGAGGGGGCTGGGGGAGTTTGTCAGGATGCCAGGAGGGGTCCGTGACTCAGACCCCCTGGATATTAGGGAGCCCTGGGGGAACGCAACCGACCAGCTCCTACCATCTATCTGCTCCTAGAATTTGTGTCGAAGTCCTAGGAAAGGTAACATTCCTTTTTCCCCAGGAACAAGAAAGTTGGGGTTTCTTCTGGGCCTGCCCGTGGATGCTGAGTGGGGTCCCCCTGCCGGTGTCTCTCTGCCTTGGGCCACTGGCCCTTCTGCTGGCAGGGAGGGTGATCACTGGCTGGGGTGGAATAAAGCTGCAATAAATAGGAAACATAAACATCTGTACATAGGAGTGCTTGCTTTTACATTTAATGCATGTTTTTAAACGTTTCTTGCTTTTTTTCCCCCTCTTCCAGTGAATCCCCCTTTCCCTCAGCAAATGGCTACCTCTTGCCAGCCTGGGGGGGTGGTGGCTGCAGACCACAGTGGCCCAGGGTGAGGCCCCCACCTGCACCCTTTCTCAAAAAAGCACAATATATTCACAGCCTCTGACTCCTCGTGGGTTTCTTTTTTCTTTCTTTTCTTTTCTTTTTTTTTATGTGTGCGTGTGTTTTGTTTCTTTTCAAGCAACAAAAGGTATAGAAAAAGGCACAGGTAACTGCATACGTGGGAAGACAGAACAGTTGGGGGCTGAGCAGAAGCTGCTTGGACAGACGGACAGATGGGACAGGGAGCCCATGAGAGCAAGATGATTCGAGGAAGCTGGCTGGAAACATCTGTTGCCGAACACCGGAAGCCAGATGCTGAAGCTGTCGGAGAGAGGCTAAGTGCTTGGGGGCCCCCCGTCCTTGGGCTGATGTGGAGGTGCCCCAGGCCCCCCACTTCCTGAGGGCTCGGGGGAGCCCTGACTGGTCCTGGGTTCCCCGGAGAGGTTTCTCCTCCGGGCTGGGAAGTGAGCAGAGGCCTCTGCCAGGCAGCCTACGGAACTGCTGCGGTCCAGGGGCGAGGCGGCCGAGGCCGCAGGGCTGGCCAGCGTGCGCGGTGACTCCAAGCGGGGGGTCCAGGGTTCTGGCCTGCGCCCGTGGGACAGCCGGGGTGAGGCCTCAGGTGGGGTGTGGGGGCTGTGGGTGGGCACAGGCTCTGCGGGCACCTCGGCCCCTCGGGGCTCCCAGTCAGGAGGTCTGCCCAGGCCCCCACTCGTCCTCTCCCTCTCCTTGGGGTAGTCCCTGCCCTCCAGCTCCGATGAGAGTGTGAACTTGGATACCTTAGCCACAGGGGACACGGAGGCCGACGAGCTCTCGGTGGGACTCCAGCGGCCTCGCTCCTGGGCCTCCCGAGCCCCTGTCAGGTCACTGCCACCTCCCGAGAAGCCGCTGACCCAGGCGGCGGTGTGCCCCGGCAGCAGGGTGGGGTGGGCCCCCGGCCGGGCCTGCACCATCTGGATCCCGCCGATGGGAATCAGGGGGCACGGGGCACGGGGCAAGTGCTGGGAGTGCAGAGGGAGGTGGCTGAAGATGTTCTCCTCGGTCCGGGCTGGGGTGTGGCCGTGGAAGTCGTGGGGGGCCCAGAAGGGTCGGGAGGAGGGAGGATGAGCTGGGCCAGGTGAGCAGGAGGGACTCCGGGACGCCGCCTTCTGCTGGGGTCATAAAACAAGACAGGGTAAGGCAAGGGCTGCGTGCTGGCACCCGGAGACCCCCAGGCCTAAAGATGAGGAGGGGGCTCGCCCGATACCACACAGCGAGTCCTGCCCGAGCTGGGCAGGGCGGAGCTCCGACTCCCTGCCCACGAGCTGCACTGTGCTGCTGGGGGCCGTCCCCAGCCCCGCAATGACCACGAGCACAGCAGGCCCCGCGGGCTTCATGCCTCAGCCTGTCGGCCAGGCGCCTGGCCCTCTCTCGGGTTCTTAGAACCATCGTGAGCCAACTCCACCCTTGCACGTGAGCTTCCACTCCATGCTCTCTCTCTACCTTCTCCCCCCACAGGGCATGGTAACGTGACCCCAAAATTAAAACCCAAGGGAAGATTCCTAGCCCGTGCTCCTCTGGGGGTTCAAGTCTCTGAGTGACAGTGTCAATGCTGCTGGCAGTGAGTGGTGGTGTTGGCCCGTGACAATATGGTGGCAGCAAAGGCACTGGAAGGTCAAGGGTAGTTGACAGTCATGCTGTCGCACGGCAGAGGTGGTGACAAGATGGTGCCATTCTGCTGATGTGGCAGTACTGAGGGGGCTGGCCTGGCAGTGACAAGAGCGTGTTAGGGTAACAATGGCAGAGGTGGCCTTGGGGATGGTGGTGTCAGCTGTGGTGTCTCTGGGGGTGCTGATGGTAGCAATGTTGGAGGCGTGGGGTTGGGGAGATGGGAGGGGAATGGCACAAGGGTTTACGCCTGCCTCCCAGGCCGGCCCGACGTCCGTGCTCTGCTGCCTCCGAGCCTGCCTTGGCTGGCTACCCGGTGGCTGGCACAGAAGGGCCCCCCGACGTTTGCTATGTCATTAGCAATCACCACACTGGCAGGGCTGTGTAACTACGGGTCTGATGCCTCAGGGGGGAGCACACCGTGGCCCCCCACCCACCGGGGATGAACGCCCCAGCTGCTCGGGGGCAGGAACTCACCCATGTGGAGGCGCAGGTCTCGGGGCTTCTGCCGAGAAGCTTGTGAGGTAGAGGCGCGGGCGGGTGTACGGCCCACGGGGCCAGCCCCGAGCCTGGGCCGCGTTCGCCCACTGACCCAGCCCAGGTCCACTTCCCTGGCAGCGCTGACCGTGGCGGTGACTCGGCCTGGCCCGGGGACTGTCTCCTGGTGGGCGAGTGTCTGGGGGGGCCCGGATCCGGGGCCCCCTTGCGCTCGGGGGGTGGATGCACTCCAGGGTTCAGTTCCCTTCCCAGGGGGCGGGGGGTGAGAGGGGACAGCTCGAGTCTTGGAGACCCACAAGGGAGAGGGCCTGTCTGGGGGCCCGGCGGGCTGGAGGCTGAGGCCTGTGGCTCTCCAGCCGGTGAGTGTCGCTGGGGAGACGAGTTGCTTTTGATTAGTGAGTGTTTGTGGGTGAGTGCTGGGCGGCTGCCTGCTTCTTTGCTTGGGGACCACGGCCTTCTTGGGGACACAGCCTTGGAGCTCAGGGCCGAGGCTGTGTCCTTCTCCAGGGGGCCCGAAGGGGCCGGTCCCAGCCAGGGGAGGCACAGGACGCTCTGGCTGGACGCAGGGCAGCTGCTGGCTGCCCAGCCCTCAGCGTCCAAGCCCGAGCTGCCCCGCGTGGCCTGGTTGCCAGAGGTGGCGTCTGGGGGCCGAGGGCCCCGGGCGGGGGAGGAGTCTGCCGGCAGAGGGGCTGGCGGGCCAGGCGGGGTTGCCTCCGAGGCCGGTCCGGGTGGCTCGTCCTGGCTCTCCTCTTCATCCTCATCCTCATCTTCATCCAGGTCTGAGTCCGAGTCCGAGTCCTCCAGGTCTGAAAACTGGTGCTCCGCCACGGTCTCTGAGCCCTCTCGCCCTTCCGAGTCCTGGAACGGGTCATCACTGGTTCCTGGGGTGGGGAGGGGGAGACACAGGAGACCCTGGGGTCACTGCCAGCCCTACGCCACCGCCCTCTACGCCCGTGTCCTTGTCTGCAAACCGGGCCTCGCAGTTATGTCAGTGGCACAAGACTGGGGAGAGGGTGGGGGCCGTGGCAGGGATGGGAACGCTTTGTAAGTAATCGCGGTGAACGAAAGTTGCCTTGGATCTACTTTGGGCCAGGCTCAGTTCCTGGGCCTTCCTGTGTGTTGTTTCGGCTGGTTCTCAAATGATCCCGTGCGATCTGCATGGTTTTTATCTTCATGTTGCAAACGAGGGACCCAAGGTAAGCAAGGTTAAGTAACATGCTCAGGTAAGGTAAGTGGAAGGGCTGGGATTGAACCAGGGCAGAAAAGACAAGCCTTTTTTGTCAGTTTGTTTTTTCGTGGGTGTTTCAGTGCTCGTTCCCCCATGAGCCATGTAAGTCACTTTGCTGTGCTTGGGTCAAACGGATGGGGCAGCCTCACCTCACAGGGCTTGCTACGAGGAATAAACACACGCCTCACACAGAGACATGGCTCCCATTATGGCCGCTCCATACCGTCCTAAAGACATCTGTTATTCTGGGACACAGGAGCCATGCCGCCCGGCCCAGCAGCGCGTACATCCGCCACCGTGGCCAGGCAGCCGCTGGAAGGTGCAACAGCATCTGGCAGGTGGCAGGTCCTGGCCTCTAGGGGTGGTTTGGCAAAGCTGGCCGACGCCTGCGGAACAGGGCCCTGTCCCAGCCACTCTGGTCTGGAGGACCTGCTGCACTGGGCAGAACGGACGCTGTCCCCAGCCAGGAGGAAGGGGGGCCCTGAAGTCCTAGCCTCCTGGTCTGGTTCCTGGTGGGGGAGGCCCACCCATCCAGGTCACCTTTCCCACAACACCAGTCTAGCTGGGCCTCTCTGCTATGGGCAGCAGACTCCGGGGACAGCTCGGCTAACGTCTGGCCCACCTGTCGGGCTCCTGAGGGTTTGGGTCCTGCTGGCCTGTCTCCAGGCACCTCGCCAGCCCCACCGCTTTGCCTGGACACACGCGCACCTGTCCCCCCATTGACCGAAAAAGCTGGACAGACAAACTGACCCTGGCCACTGACGCAACCAGGCTCTCACACTCCACCATGTCCAGCTGTCCCGGGGCTGGGAATCCCAGCATCCATGCTTCTAAATAGCTCAGTACGTGGTAGGAAGATGCATGAAACAGGTGAGAGAGGGTCAAAAACTATGGGGTGGGCCTGGGCTTGGCAGGTGAAGGGCGGGCCAAGGGACCAAGGGCTGGGTCTCCGGGCAGCTGGGAGCAGAGGGGAAGGCCATAGGGATGTGGATGGGGGCGGAGGGTGCAAAACACACAGTTGCAGGTTTGCCCCAGGCCTCACCTAGGACTTTAGTGGGGCCTATTTCAGACCCAGAAGTTCCCCTAGCCTCACCCCTCATTTACATATGGGGAAATCCAGGCCCAGGGGGGCAAGTGCTTCCTCCCCAAGGTCACCCAGGGAGAAGTGGCTGAGTCAGGACAAAGATTTACAACCTTTGCGTTATTACACCGCCAGTATAAAAGTGATGGTATGCATTGAGAAGCAGGAAATGGTCTGGGTTTGGATCCCTCCTCTACCCTTCCTTGCTGTATGATGTATAATCGGCTTTCTCTCTCTGTGTTCAGTTTCCTCATCTGTAAAATGGGGGTAAGAGCAACGACAGCCCCCCCATGAAGCTGGTGGGAGAATCATGAGGGGCTGACACATATTAAGTATGCAAGACAACTTAGCAAATATCTCAAGTACCCCAGTACCCTAGTGGACAGGCAGCACTGCCAGTGTCTCACAGCTGATGGTCAGAGAGGTAGTACTACTGGTGAAGGAGAGTCAAGACTAGTGTCTCCTGACATCCACCAGGGAGGGCTCCTAATCAGCTTCTTTAGGGGTGAGTAAGTGGCGGCCAGAGTGGCCTGCCTTAGGTACCCAGAGTAGAAATGATGGGAGCTAAAGGTCCTCTGCCCAGAACAGGGTTCTCCAGGCCCCTACTCCCCATGTCTGGGCTCCTGCAGGGGTATAGGGTGCCCCTGCCCAGGCGGCCCATTCCCAGCACCCCTCATGGGGCCGCCAGTCTGCTGCTGGGATCACCATCAAGGCTCCACAAAGCCCAGAGCGGGCCTGGGGACTGCGGAAAAGACGAGATGCCTTCGAGGGTACCGAGGAGCTCTGGCCACACGGTGGCGCTGGTGCCTCACCTCCTCACTGTCAGAGGCTGCAGCGCGGCCCGGCCACCGGGAGGCAATCGTTCCTAGGCTGTGCTCCCCAAGGCCACTAGGCGTCTAACAGACATGCTCCTCCCTGAATCGTCATCATCACGGCAAGTAGCATCTCCGTCCTTCCACGGTTTCTTAAGGCCATAAACCTCGGAATCACCCTTGGCTCCTTTATTCTCATGGCACCACCAGCGCCCCCTCGTGGTGGCAAAACCTGTCGGCTCTACCTGCAGAATGTTTCCAGAATCCTTCCACTTCTCCCCGCCACGCCTCACCCAGTCCAAGCCAACATGTGTTCAGCCTGATCACTGCCTACAGAGGCACCTCTTCTTAACCGCCTCTGCACACAGTCACTGAGAGTTGGGGGACGTTACTCCATTGCATCACCAAGTTCTTCTTTTGCCATTCATGGTCCCTGTCCTGAGTTCATCTCCCCCACTCTGATCCTTTAGGGGCTCTGCACCTTCTGCTCCCTCTAAGGGGAGAGCCCTTCTCCACCTGGCTTCCTGACCTCTCCCTCCATGTCCTCTCCTCACACCATCCTAACAGAGAGATCCCTCCCTACACTTCTCAGCCCCTCACTCAGTTATGTTGTTGCTTCCTATTCACTGCCCCTGTGCTATTCCACGTTGGTTCATTGTCCGGCTCTTTTTGAGAATGTGGGCTTCCAGAGGACAGGACTATGTTGTAGTCACTGTGGAATCTCCAGCACCTAGAACAGGGCCTATAGGGCTGGTGTTCAGCAGTTATATTTCTAGAATAAATGCGTTGATTTCATCTTCAAACTAGGTGGGTAGGGTTGTCCTTTTTTGCCTCATTGGGAAAATGAGGTTGGGAGAGGGGACCAGCCTTGGGCCCCTCAGTGGGCCCCTGGTGTGTGGGGCCAGCTGCAACCTCTTGACTCTCACCTGGGGAGGGTTCTGGGCTCAGGCCCCCCAAGTCTAGCCCACCAGGCATTGGGGTGGTGTGGAGCTGGCATTTTTGTGTGACCTTCAGCAACTGCCTTTACCTGAGCTTTCCTTGCCTTAGCCTACAATGGGGAACACAAGCTTCTACCACTAGTTAGTTACGAGGACTCAGTGGGACAACACGTGTAAGTGGCCTAATGTACATTCTTGACAAATATGGTAACCCTACATTCTCATTTTGCGGGGAACAGCCCCACATTCATTGGGTTTAGTTCAGTAAAAGTGCTGTATTCCACCTGAAAGGAAATGTAATCGGGGCGCCTGGGTGGCTTGGTTGGTTAAGCATCCAACTCTTGGTTGAGCCGAGCTGAGGCTCAGGTCATGATCTCACCATTTGTGAGTCTGAGCCCTGGGGCCCGCTCTGCGCTGACAGCATGGAGCCTGCTTGGGATCCTCTCTCCCCCTCTCTCTGCCCCTCCCCTGCTCACGCTCTCTCTCTTAAAATAAATAAGCTTAAAAAAAAACAAACAAAAAATAAATAAAAGGAAATGTGCTTTTCCTCTTTTTGTAAGACTGTAAATACATCCTGAAGTCAGACACACACACATGTGCGCACGTGTGCACACACACAAACACACTCACTCACTCCTCTTTGTGACACTCAAGTCCTGATTCTGATTTTAGGGAATCTGGTCAAAAAGTTTCCAGGGACAGACAGGAGGAATGTCTCTGGCTTCCCTGAGCTCCCTTTGCAGGCAGGACTGCCTGTCCACCCGCCAAAGTCCCTCCACCCCCCTCCATGGATGCTGTGGCTGGGCAGGGCCTTTGAACTTCAACTTCTCTGCTGGGTCTTTTTCAGAAATGGGCTCTAAAATGCCTTTTGCTGGTGGAGGACTTTGGCTGGGGTGCAGTGCTGGGATGTGGGATGAGGCCGGGAGGTGACAGGGTCTGTCAGGGTTGGCTTTGGCTCTCCTGCTCCTCAAGTTCTCAAAGGTCCAGGTGTCAGGCCCACGCCCTGAGTCTGTAGGTGAGAGTGCGGGCATGGAGGGTATGAGTATGCACCTCACAGCACCACCGCGAGGATTTGTGGGGCAATTCGCGGCATGTGGTTTTGAACGCGCCTGATGGATAGTGGGTGCTCGGTCAATGTTGACTACAATTGCTCACGTGTTTATTCAGCACACATTCACTGAGCACCTGTGCACTCAGCACACATTCACTGAGCAACTCCCCCTCCCCACCCCCTGCCAGGTAGACTGTAATGCACACGAGCCATGGCTGCACAGTGTGAACGGCAAGTGCATGGAGAGTAGGGGCGATCGCTCTGTGAATTTAACCTTTATCAGCCAGCAGGTGGGAAACTGGAGGGCAGGCAAGGAAGGGGGGAGAAGGGACAGGTGGACAGAGCAGGCAGAGGAGGAGGGGGAGGAGGGAGCTGGCGGGCTCGTTACCTTCTTCGGCTTCCAGCTCCTCCAGCACCCCTGTCTCTTGGCACTTTTTGCTGTGGGCCTTTGACTTCATGTGCTTAGTCAGATTCCCTGGAAAGAAATGAGAACAGACTCAGGCTTGGCCGCAGGGCAAGGGGCCAGGGCAGGCCCAGGGCTCGCAGAGGCAGTGCCTGGCTGGCGGGCTGTGGCTTCGCAGACCAGTCAGGGCCCTGCTGGCCGCAGGGGCCGGGCGGGGGCCGGGCCATCCCTCTGCCCAGGTGCTTGGGCGCTCAGACGTGCACCACGGCCGCCGTTCAGGACAGCAGACGGGGGCTGGGGGAGGGTGGGCATGGGGTCTGTGCGAGGACAGAGGGCATAATGAGGGGGTGAGATGCTGGTTAGAAAACAAGCAAAAAAGAAATTAAAAGACAACTCATGTGGGATAGGTTTTTCTGGGTTGGGGCTTAACTCTGGGCCCAGGAGCTGGTGGCACTCATGGGGCAGAATATTTGGCCTTCTCAGACACTGGATGACGGAGGGCTCCTGTTAACCGATGTGGTGGGTAGGATGCCCTTCTAACGGCGGCCATGTTGAGGGCAGCCCACAGGGTGTGGGAAGAGGACCCAGGACAAAGTTTCTGTTAGAAATGGAGAAAGGGCAGAAGGTATACTGAAGTCTGCTGGACAGAGACTCGTGAGCCACGGAGCTGGGGCTCAAGCCCTGACTTCCTTAGAGGAGTCGTGTCCTGGGCCTCAGTTTCCCCCAGGTCACTGTGCAGTGCAGATACAGGTAAGGTATAGACAGAGAAGGCTGGGCAAAAGCTCTGCCCACTCCAGCCCGACGTGGGCAGTCCAGCCCCACAGCTGATAAGCAGGGCAGAAGTTCTGTGGAATCGGGAAAGGTAGCAACACCTTCAGCTCATCCCGTGTGTGCACGGTACTTCACACCCTAATCCTCTGTGGGCAGGAGCACTCTGTGAAGGAGAGGCAGAGCTCTAGGAGGATCCTCCTCTGGGCTCGGAGGCCACCTCCAAACTGTTCTCACTGTTGCCCTGCAGATCGCTACATGTCCACATGATCGTTCATATAATAACCATAGGTTCCCTGAGTTAGGCGGTCTGTCTCACTAAGCTTATGGATCCGCAAGTTTGAATCGATGGATGGAAGAGAGAAGAATGGATGCTTGAACAGGTGCATTGAGAGACTGGTGAGTGAATGGATGGATGGATGGATGGGTAGGCGGGTATGTGGGTAAGAGGAGATACGGGGTAAAAGAAGAACGGGAAGAGTAAGGACAGATGGACAGGACACTGGATGATTTGATAGGCAGATGGATAGACAGATGGGGAGTAAGTGGTTAGATGAAACAAAGAAATGGAAGGATAGTTGGAAAATGGGTTAATGAACAGATGGGCAGCTGGAGCACTGGAGGGGAGGAGAGAGGCATGGGCGGATGGGGGGATGGCTGGTTGGGTTGCACTGGCCAATGGCTACATGCACATAAACATGCAGGAGGGACAGACAGGAGTATAAAAGATGGGGAAGGTGGATGGAAGGATGGATTGGTGGTAAAACAAATGTGAGAAAGGGAGGAGCAGACAGGAGGAGAAAAGAAATGGGAAGATGCATGGACAGGAAGACAAACTGGTAGATGGAGAAATGGGTGGATGGGAAGACAGACGGATGGAGGGGCAGGCGAGTAGGAGAGAGCCCATGGGTGAACTGAAGGGTGCTTCATAATCATTCAGAGAATTTTAAGGAACTTGTAGGGGTTTGCTTGTTTAAGGAGCTTCACTTGTTTTGCTGGGAACCTTAACCTGGGCTTCCTTGAGGTCAAGGGCAGCAGGGATGGAAGGACACTTGTTTCTTCCCTCGCTGTTCCCTTTACTCCTAGTCTGCGTTTGTATACTTCCCAACCAAGATTCTCATCATATAACCAGACAGAAACCTGTATCTTCTACTCCTGGCCAAAGGGGAAGCAGAGTCCTAACTTCCAGAGACATTCTGGAGCCAGAGGGTCCCCACAGAGGACCTATCTAATATAAGGGGCTTCTGCCCTCACTGTCACGAGCAAGCAAAGCTTGAGTAGGACGTCAAGGGGTGGTAAAGGCAGCTGGGGGCTTCCATGGGCTAGAGATACCAATGGTTCCCTCAGGTTCTGAAACCAGCCCACTGTCCCTTCATGCCCCTGACCACAGAGGACTATGAACACTGCTCATTATGGCTGTGACATTATTGTATGTGTTCTGCCAGGAAGCTTTAGGTCTCTTTTTCACCAAGTTGGGTGCCAAGCACACAATGGGTGCACAACAGCCGCCTGTGGGAAGTGCTCTCCTCATCTCAGAAGCAAAGTGTTGGAAGGAGCCTCTCAGGCCACATAACCCATCAAGCCCAGGGTTCTGTTACTTCTGCTCTAACTCTGGGCCCCGGGGCTGGTGATGCCATTAGAGAAGATCACTGACTGTCTCAGCTGCCGGGATGTCATGGGAGGGTGCCCATGGACCGACACAATGAATCCCCCAGCCGAGGCCCCTTGTTAGCACAAGGCCCCGTTTTGAACCAGGTTTCAGGACTCCAGGGCTCTTGCTTGCTCCGTACTGGCAGAGTCAACCCGGGCTGGTCTAGGAGCGTATGGACCTTGGGTTTGAGCTTGGGCTCTGCCACGTGCTATAGCTGTGCACTCTTGGGAAAGTTTCTTAACATTCTGAGCCCCAATTCCTGCAACTCTCAAGTAATACCTACCTCTCGGGGATGCCGGGAGGAGCTGATGAGAGAGCGCATGTTGAGTAGCTGTAGGTGTGCCTGGCAGAGAGCAGACGCTCACAGCGAGGAACCTCCTTCCCTCCCATACTGTGTGCCCGCCCCCACCCCCCATGACGGTCACTCTTTATGGAGCACCAGGGACTGTGCCACGCACCATGCTGGGTGTGGAGGACAGAGGTGCTGAAATGGAGATGCAAATGGCTTTATCCTCCAGGCTGGGCTCAGGGGCTCCCAGGAGAGGGTGTCAGTGGCCCCTGGAGGCCACAGGGAGGAGTCAAGGAGTCTGAGGGGACTCTGCCGGGACAGGCTGTGTGGGTTATCGGAGAGGAGGCTGGTTGAGCAGCCCCGAGTGTTATCCGGTGCCCGCCCTGACTTCCCCTCCCTGGACCTCTTCTGTGAATTGAGGGAGGGGTATCAAGTGGCAGCAGACATCTTTTCTGGTGGACACCATTTCTCTGTCATAGGGGCAGAGCCCTGGCTTGCCAGGCAGAGTCCCCAGCTCCTTACAGTTGTCCCACCCCTCACTGGAAGCCCCCACAGGCCCGGAGTGAAGGAAGAAAGGCAAGTGGATGGAAAATGAGGAGTGTCTGGAAGAGAGGTGGGACTTCCACTGAGAGCATCATCCAATGACTCTGCCTCATTCAGCTTTGACCAACCAACCACCCTCCTCCCGCCCCTGCAGGCCTGACAGACAGGCCTGCCCAGAGCCATCATCTCCATCTCCTGCGGCGACCGGCGCAAGGGCCTGTACACAGCACACCCTGCTGGCATCTGGGAACCATCTAAGAAGGGGAAAGGCCTCCCACCCCCGGACCTCCACAGGGACATCCCGGCAGCCTTTCCCGGCACTACCCACTGAGGCGCCTCAGCTAGCGCCCAGAGGCCCAAGTTGCCACCACAATGTCCAACACGGAGACGGAGACACAGACAGGCAGACAGAGACGGACAGAAAGGGCTCTCCGGGCCTGGACGCAGCCAGGTGGTGGTGATGGAGGGTCCTGAGGCCCAGCCGGAGCCCAAGGGTGAGAGGTGAGGGAGGGGGTGGCAGCCGGAAGGAAGTCAAGAGCCAAGAGAAGACTCCTGAGGTTTTGGCGTGGCTGAAGGCCACGCCTCCAGGAAGACACGGCCCTTAGGAACAGAAACCTCCGTGTGCTGCTCTTCCCCCGCTCCAGGTGCGCAAAGAGAGCCTGCAGCAAGCTTTCTCTGCTGCAGCTTGCCGTCACCCACCCCCAACCCATCCCTCTCTGAAGTCACAGAGTTTGAGATTCTACCATTTCAGATTCGCTTACTGCTTCGGCTCTGAAGGTACTGTCTTCCAGAAGCCTCAATGAACATTTGAAGAGAGCTCAGAACCCTTCCTGATCACTGGTTGGGGACACAGTCCCCTGGGCCTGGCCTTTGGGGCAGCCTGGGCAAACCTTCGCACCCAGGACCCCACACCCCAGGGCATGCGGTGTGTGCCCTCCTATGTTCAGGTTACACCCTCTGGTCCCTCCAGGGTAGGGACTGTGGGTAGGCTTGGCATGTCTTCCAATGAAAAGAGCTGCTGGAAAAGAAGTCCTGCCAGGGACCAGGCCTCCCTCATCCCTGACAAAAACAGACCTTCTCTCTCCAAAAAGGCAGGGGGGCCTGAAGAGGGACCCCTCTTTGGAGAGACTGCTCTGGCTGAGAACTTAGCCGGAAGGGCTTTCTAGTCTCACGTGGGGAGGTGAAGGCTCTCCGAGATGGTTCTCTGTGTGCTGGGCACAGGGGTGCTCCGAACGGGCCTGGGCTGGGATGTACCCTCAAGACGGGGCTCCTCACACTGAGAACAGAACAATGGGGTCCCCTAGATGCACCCTGGTAATAGGAGTAGCAGTTGTGACCCACTCCAGAGGCCACGTGATCAGCCACCTGATTTTGCTGCTCCTTCCAGCGAACGGAGGAGGGTCTGCTCCCAGACAGGAAGGTGATGGTGGTGATGCCCTGAGATAGGGGTCCTGGGTTCTAGTTACAGCTCTAGTGTTAACAGCCACTTGGTTTTGGAGGGATCACTTTCTTTACCTTCAAGGGGGGTTGGGACAAGAGGTCTTTCTTACTCTGTTAGATTATCAGTTAATTATTCCCAGTTCTCTTCTCCATGAAGGTCCACTGGCTGCCCAAGGCCAGAGGGAGTGAGGCTGCAGGGGACACAGGGAGACAGAGCCCACGCCCAGGGCAGAGTCAGGCGGGGCTGTGCTGCCTCCGACATGCCAGGGCTCTGGGACTGGAGGCACCATGAGGGAGGGGGCCGGGCTCCGGGCCTATCTGCCCTCTGGGGACCTTCTGGAACACTGTTTATGGGACGCCAAGAGAGAAGAAGATCAGAGAAACAAAGTGGGAGGGAGGGCGCCTCCATTCCAACCCAAGTCTCGGTGGGAAAGTTCGAGGTCCCCTGAGAATGCCAGAGGGCACAGGAGGGCAGGGCTCGGTGAACGGGGTTAGGAGACCAGAGATAGAACTCGGTCAGAGAGGGGCCAGGAGCCAGGGGATGTGGTGAGCTGCCCCCTGACCCTGAAGAGAGAGAACGGAAGGGGCCCCCAAGGGGTGGAGGAAGAGAGGAAGGCTGGCGAACTCAGAGGGGCCTCCTCAAAGCTGCGGCCCAACGTCTCTCGCTGGGCGCAGCTTTACCAACAGAAGAAAGGTCAACGGGTGGCTAAACTGGATCTGCTCTCCAGGTCTTTCTGCAGAAACACCACAAGGCTCTGGTGGGGCCAGCATGGAGGCCCCCCACTTGCTGGCAGGAGAAGCCAAGGGCCCTCATGCCAGAACCCTGACCCAAGAATCTGCAACGCGCAAGAAGCTGAAGCCCTTGAGGGTGTCTGAGCGCCCCAGACCTTCCTCGGCTTCCCCTCTGTCCGCCCTTTCCGATACCAGGAAGCAATGGGCCAGCTGCACTGTCTTCACTGCCTGGCCTGCGGGGACAGTCAACGCAAGGGGGGGAGGGGAAGGGCTTGATCCAAGTGTCGGGGACTCGGCCCCACGTGTTCACGGCCGGCCAGGCCACCGCCAGCTCCTATCACAGCTCAGCGGAACCCATCCCCTCAATGGCCGGTCCTTCTTCCTTTCTCAGATGACTGCCAGGGCCCGTGCTGACCCTGCTTCGGGGTGTGGCCAGGGCCCAACGCAAAGGGCTGCCAGCCGGGGCGGAGGCGAGGGCTGCAGAGGAGCCGGGTGGGCAGGAACATGGTCTGAGTGGTGAGGAGGGTGGAGGCAGGGGCGAGCTCTGCCATGAGAAGTGACCATGCGAGTGTGCTAAGTGGCTCGGAGTGGAATGGATTTCCAAACGCAAGAGTGGCGGTGACAAGTGTAGATGCTGGAGTTCACCAGATCGGTGGACGAAGGGCTAAGGAGACATGCGGAAGGACGGGGTGAGGAGAGAAAAATCAAAATCAGGAACCGTGTGCAAGAGCGCCATCAGGCGGCGAGGGGGAGAGCGCGCAGGTGGAGGAGCGGTGTGGGATCCAAAGTGACAGGCTGCGGCCGCCAGGGGGCGCCGCTGCCCAGTCTGGAGCCGTCTGTGCTGCCACTGGGGAGCCCGGGAAGTGGGGGGTGCCCCAGGCCCCAGGCGGAGAGGTCTGGACCCCTGAGCTCTGTGCTAGGGCTCCCAGAGAGGAGCTCCCTACAGCGGGCAGGGGCAGCGCCCCAGCTGACTGTCTCTTACCTTTGGTTTTAAAAGCAAAGTGACAGTGCTTGCACACATAGGGCCGGACGTCAGTGTGGGTGCGGATGTGTTTCTTCAGCATGCTGGGCTTCTTGCAGCGAATTCCACACTCCTCACAAACATATTTCCCTCGGCCGCGGCCTCGCACATATACATACTCTTCGTTTGATTTGTACCTATGAGCAACAGGCGTCATGGTAAAGGAAAAAAAAGGAGGAGAAGAGGCTGGTTCCCACCTCGGAAGATGCACACGCTTCCTAGCCGCGTCCAGCCCGTGACGGATGTCGGGAGAGGAGGACGCGGGACGAGAGAAAACCTCAGGGCGGGGGTGGAGGTGGTCGCCCCGAGGATCCACCGTGGACCCCCTGAACCTGCCCTGCGCTCCGACAGGTAGGGCTGCCCCCTCTTTTCCCTCTAGAGGCAGCAGACCCTGTGCTTCCTGCCGGGAAGTGAAGCCCCCGGTTGGCAGAGGGCCGCTGCTCCCCAGCCAGCCTTGCACCAGCCTCTGCCCACAAAGGACAGCCACTCGGGGCCACCGGAGTAACACAAGAGTGACAGAAGGTAATGACCACAGCTCTAGCGGCTACCATTTGCCGAGTGCTCACTCTGTGCTGGGCACTTTACACAAATTAAATGACAGTCACGAGCAAGAGCCCTTAGGAGCTCTGGGCTCAAGCTTCCACCGCCAGAAAGGTATGGAAGGAGGATCTGAATCCGCCTGCCCCAAAGACTATCCACCTCTCACAAGGGGCAACAGGTGCCAAAAACACTGGTGTGAGGGGAGGTATGAGGAACGGCCGTCGTTTCCCTGTTCTCAGAGCGAGAAACCAGGAGCCCTGCACTCTCTCTGCGACCCTATCCCCAGATGAGCCGGAAAGCTCTCAGAACCCAGATTCCAGCCACCTTGTGTCCAGAGATCCCCTAGGGCCACGGGAGCAGGGCCAAGAGCTTTCCTAGGGTGGCTCCTGGGCAGCCAGCCCCCCCTGCCCGGCGTCAGGGCCACCAATGTTCTTGGACCTGAATCAGAATGCTCTTATTTCCACCTGGAAGGAAGCCCTGGAGGTTCACTCGATACGACCCTCCTCAAAATGTCCTGTCGGCCTGATGCTATAGAGGTTCACGTCTCCTGAAGGGGCAGGAAAGGCTATGATGGGGCTGGGGGAGCGCCTCCTGGGGGGGCGGTGCGGGTCTGATGGCATGGGTGCCTTAGGGGAGGTGTGGCCTCTTGCTGGGCTGAGTCTGCCCCCAGCATCACGCAAGAGGCCTGCCTGTGCCCCTCACTCCCGCTGCATGCTATGTCTCTGCCCAGGGGCCTCAGTACTCAAACTCCGAACAGGTGCAGAGGGGCAGGGAGGAGGCTGGGACAAGGTGAGGAAGTTGGGACGGCAGCTGGGACTCAATCCCACTCTGCAGGGGCCATCGGCTTATGGCTGACAGGACGTCACAGGATGACTTGGAAGAAGGGACTCAAGGGAGGGAGCCAGCAGGCAGCGGCAGAGGGGTCACATCACACACACACTCACACCACCTCCCCACTCTCACACTCACACGCTCTCGTGTGTGCTCACACATACACATGCATGCACACCCACACACACTCCTACTCATACACACACGTTCTCTCACAATGGACTGCAGTCCACAGGTCCCTATGGGCCCTGGCTTTTGTCACCTCAGCTTTGGCCAGCGGATGCCTCTTACATTGTCTGAAACCACCTTTTCTTCCCCTTACAGGCCCTGACCGGCCAGTTGCAAGTACCTTCCAGTTAGGGGCCAACTCCCCTGATCCAAGGCGACGTGGTATCTTGTGCTCAGCGGGGGGAGGGGGAGGAATGAAGTGGGGGTGGTTGGTGGGGAGACCCGACTCTTGTCGCTCGTGTGAAGGGCACCCTATGGGCAAACGGGGGACGTCTGTCTCCCAGTAACAGAGGTTCACCTTCAGAGAGCAGGACTCCTGGACCCCAGCCAGCTACCCACACCCGATTTCAATTCCTGTGTCCCTCTGTTGCCCCCGGGACCCACTCTGAGACGGAGCGCCCTTTTTCCCAGCCAGAGAAGAAAGAAGTGAGAATGCCTTGGTCTCTTAGCATCAGAGGCCCCGCTGCCACCTGGACATCAACCTCCACTCAGTCCCATTCGCCGGGTCCATGACCCCCTCCCTCCGCTCCAACTTCCATTGACACAGGCATCCTTCAGTGTCCCCCTTCCCTCCACCCCGCTGCTGTGGTGGGCGCTGTGCACTAGCCCCGTAGCCCCTCTGACTTCTACCGTATTTGGGCTCCACCCTAGGCTCAAGCCAACTCATAATCAGGTACTGGAGTCCATCTACCGAGGCTACTCCCAGACCCCCCATTTCTTCCTCCACAGCAAGCCTACACAAGTGGTCTCCCCAGGTGCACGCTTATGCGTACACACACACAGAAAGGATTCTGAACCTTCAAGGGTTGTGCCTTGACCATGGAATGTGGGTGCAGCCTGCTGGGAGGGGCCAGGATGGACAGCGAGAGATGGAGGCTGGTCCCAATAGGGACCAGGGGCAAAGGCAGGAGGTTGTTAAAAGTCCTGTAGGATTTGGTGCATGAAGGCAAATGAGGTGGGTTGGGCAGGACCGACCGGATCACCATCTCCATTGGCCTTGAATGCGGTGCTAAGAAGTTTAGACTCAATCAGCGTTGTCTTAAAAATAAAGTCTTGAGAGAAGATGCTTCCTTGGCAGCACCGGGCATGGTCTGGAGGAGAAGAGTCCCTGTAAGAGGCGCATGTCCTGGGGCAGGCGGCCATCTGGAGGTGGCAGGGGTCACAGTGAGGCAGAAGCAAAGATCAGAGTTTTCAACTTGGCTGGCTCAAGCGATACCATCTGTGGGCTTGGAAGGAAGCAATGCAGGGCTCCAGTCCTTTGCTGAGTATGAGATGCCTGGGGGGAGGGCTTGAAGAAATGCCCAGACCATGGCTGGAAATCCTCGGGAATCAGCATTTGGGACGTGCTGGTTCATGGAGAGGAAGATGACCACTCAGGACAGGATCGAAAACAAGAAGAGGCCTTGGCCTCTGCCTTCTGGCACATTCCGCCATCATGGACCACACACTCAGTTCAATCTTGTCCCTAACCGACCAACCAACCTCAAAGCTTCCCTGGACCCGCACCCACTCCAGCTACTGCTCCCTCTGCCTCCCTCCTCGGCCCAAGCCTGTAGGGGATGGTCCACGCTTGCTTGTCTCTGCCTCCCCACCATCCCCCTTCCTGAGCCCCCACAGTCCAGCCTCCCTGGCCAGCCGTCCTTGCCCAGGTCCCAGGTTGCTAAATCCAAAGGACAGCTGCCTTTTCCTGTCTGCCCTTGTGCCCGCTTCCCAGAGGCACCTGCCTGGCATGGCGACCCTTCTCTGCAAGCTCCTTCCTTACCCCTCTCCAGGTGCCAGCCTGTACTCCCCTCTCTTCACCCCTCCCAGGTGCACCCCCTCTGTGAACACCTGACTTGCCACCAGGTGCCAATACCCTGTTCTCTCCAGCCCTGGCCTCTCTGCTGTACATCCAGCTGTCCCCTCAGTACCTCGCCTGGTGGTCTTCAGGCACCTCGCACCCACCTGCCCAGAACCCCACATCCCTCCTCTAGTACCATCTCCTCCTGGGTCCCCTTCTCCATAAATGGAATGTACACCTCTGTGGCTGGTGAGGCCGGCAGCCTGGGCTCCCCGCCCCCAGTGTCTCCGCTGCCTTCTCTCCTGATACTCAGTCCACGCTGCCACCCAAGTGTGGTCTAAGGAGTCCTGCCTCCTGCCCCGACTAGCCAGGGCCACCAGCCTCTCCCCAATGCGGCCACGTCCTTTCTCCACAGAGCGGCCACAGGGGGCTTTCCCTGCACACACAGTCCTCCTCACAGCCTGGGGGCGACGCTCCCCCCCACCTCAGGATAAAGCCCTGCCCCTGCTACCTCTCCACACCCCCACTCCCAACCATGCCAGACATCACGGAGCCTCAGAGTCCCTTTCCTCTGGTCTTCCGCCCCCTGCCTCCATCTGACCAGCTCCTCTGCTCCTTCAGGACTTTGCCAAAAGGTCCCTTCCTTTGGAGCCCTCTCTTCCACCTCTGAGCCTGGGGGTGCCACCTGCTCCTCCTTCACACTGTCAAGCTCTGGTCTTCTCACAAGGGTGGTCCCCATTCTCCTCGTGAAGGAGGGACCGTGTCTGCCTCAGCTGCTGGCATATCCCCAGGGCCTAGCACCGCGCCTGACTCCCAGCGAGTGCTCAGCACATCTCGGCTGCCCATAAGGAAGCCAGACCCAGGCCTTCTTTCCCCAGGTCTGCTATAATCAGACTCTCAGCCTTGACATCCCCACTCTCGGAGGCTAGAGCACAGGCTCAGCCCAGTGCTGAGGCCTCCCCTCGGGCACGGCACATGGCCAGGCCCGCCCAGCCGTGATGGACTGGCGAACACTCCCCATTCCCCAGTAGCAACTATTCTGCTCCCAGGAAGTAGGTCAGTATGAGACCTGGGTCCAAGTTCTGGCTCCTGCTTGAACTTGCTGGGTGACTTTGGGCAGGTCACTTCCTGTCCCTGGGAAACAATCTGTCTTCATTGCCTTGAGATACACCAAGCACTGCCACATGCCTGACTTCAACCAGTCTTTCCATCAGCACTTTATACCATTGGCCCCATTTTACAGAAAAGGGAACTGAGGCCCAAGGAGTTTAAGTGATGTGGCCAAGATCAGCCCATCAGCGATCTTTCTGCCCAGCTCCCCATCCCTGCACAGACTTGCTGCACAAATACTTTTAAATGATGTTGCTCAAGGTTTCCTTAGCATTTTCCTTCTCCAGGATCTCCAGAGCCCTGTAACACTGCAGACAAACAAGAACAGCGTCATTCTCCACCCAGCCCTTCCTGAAAGGGCCGCCAGCGCTGGGTGGGACCCACAGGTGTTGACAGCTATAGAAAAGTGCCCTGCAGAGAGCGGGGGCAGGAAACCAGAAAGCCGTGGTGGGGCCTCTAGGGGCACGGTCCTGCCTCCCTGGTCTGCTGGCCCCTCCCCGTCTCCCTAAGGCTCCCCTTCCTCCAGGGGGAGAAGTGACGGACCCCCCTGCCTGTTCTGGGGCCACAAGACAGTCCCTGCAGACAGGCCTGGATGTAGCTGACTCACAGCTCCCAGGACAGGGAGAACTTTCTCTGAGCCCTACCACC